CAGTTTACACTCATCTACAGGTCAGGACTCTGCAGTTGACACTCATTTACAGGCCAGCGGTCACTCTTTCAGAGATGAAGATGTTCTCATCCTTGATAGAGAGGAACGTTRGTTTGAGAGAGGAGTAAAGGAAGCCATCTTTGTGAAGAAAAACCATCCACCATTAAAAAGAGGTGGAGGCCTTCGTGTCCAGTTGTCCTCCTCCTAAAATGCTGTTATTGCAAGTATGACTCCGCCCCCTGTGAGCAAAACGTGTGAATCAGGGCTCCAATGATACCAACACAAAGAGGGAGGGAGGGACAAAAACAAGGGGACATTAAACCCCTGCTTGCATTCACTACATTCACATAACATGACACGGGTCAGGTGATGGTTCACATGACCCTCTATGAACAATAGAGCTAATCAAGCCTATTGTTAGTCGATGGCCCTCTTTTGCATGTGACTAACCTGTTTGTCCATGTGGAGGCGGAGCTTATAAGTCTGAGTTCACCTGAAACTCATCAGACTGAAGAAGTCTCTTGGAGGAGAGACGAAACGTTTCACTAAAGAAGAACCATCCAGAGGACCTACTGATTTTTTCTTTTTGATTATTTAATTTCACATATCGTGATCTCAAACACATCACTCTCTGATGGTATAGGGGTTCATTAGAGCTTCTGACATGGGCAGCTGACTCATCTGGACTCCATCAGTTCAACAAAGTGTCTTCAGACTTTAGATCATCTGGACTGTTGAACATCTAGAGTCCTCCTTTAGACCAGAATGATGAAACAGGTCCTCCAAAACCTCTAGAACTGGTCTCCTCATGTCTTCCAGAAATGGTCTACTGAAGTCCTCCAAAACCGTTAGAACTGGTCTCTTCAGGTCCTGTAGAACTGGTTTCTTCGGTCCTGTAGAACTGGTCTCCTCAGGTTCTGTAGAACTGGTCTACTGAAGTCCTCCAAAACCAGTAGAACTGGTCTCCTCAGGTTCTGTAGAACTGGTCTACTGAAGTCCTCCAAAACCAGTAGAACTGGTCTCCTCAGGTTCTGTAGAACTGGTCTCCTCAGGTACTCTAAAACTGGTCTTCTCAGGTCCTCTAGAACTGGTCTCCTCAGGTCCTGTAGAACTGGTCTCATCAGGTCTTGTAGAATTGGTCTCTTCAGGTCCTGTAGAACTGGTCTCTTCGGGTCCTGTAGAACTGGTCTCCTCAGGTCCTGTAGAACTGGTCTCTTCAGGTCCTGTAGAACTGGTCTCTTCAGGTCTTGTAGAACTGGTCTCTTCAGGTCCTGTAGAACTGGTCTCTTCAGGTCCTGTAGAACTGGTCTCTTCAGGTCTTGTAGAACTGGTCTCTTCAGGTCCTATAGAACTGGTCTCAGGTCCTGTAGAACTGGTCTCTTCAGGTCCTGTAGAACTGGTCTCTTCAGGTCCTGTAGAACTGGTCTCTTCAGGTCCTGTAGAACTGGTCTCTTCAGGTCCTGTAGAACTGGTCTCCTCAGGTCCTGTAGAACTGGTCTCTTCAGGTCCTGTAGAACTGGTCTCCTCAGGTCTTGTAGAACTGGTCTCCTCAGGTCTTGTAGAACTGGTCTCCTCAGGTCCTGTAGAATTGGTCTCCTCAGGTTCTATAGAACTGGTCTTCTCAGGTCCTGTAGTACTGGTCTCCTCAGGTCCTGTAGAACTGGTCTCCTCAGGTCCTGTAGAACTGGTCTCCTCAGGTCCTGTAGAACTGGTCTCCTCAGGTCCTGTAGTACTGGTCTCCTCAGGTCCTGTAGAACTGGTCTCCTCAGGTCCTGTAGAACTGGTCTCCTCAGGTCTTGTAGAACTGGTCTCCTCAGGTCAGATAATTCTTTCAGATTACAGACGAAGATGTTTCAAAGTGATGTCATGCTCAGATGAAATCCTGTATGCTCCTGCAGAACTTTAATCTGTAGAACCTGAGCAGATCAGTGAGGCTGACAGATGCTGCAGATTAGACACTCTTTGATCCGACAGTTTAACTCCAGATTAACACGGATTAAACTCTCTGAGGGGCCTCAGCTCTTACCTTACGTTGGGGCCGTTTGGTGTCCAGCTCTGAGCTGCTGTTGTTCATGATGGTCCACCGATCGTTCAGCATCATCCTGAAACACCAACAGCCAGAGGTTAGACCTGGACCAGATCCTAGACCACAGCCTGTACCAGAACCTGGACCACAGTCAGGTTTACATGTTTACATGCAGGTACATGTTTGTATGCAGGCAGAGCCGGCTCTCTGCATAGGCGAACTAGGCGGTTGCCTTGAGCGCCATCTGCTGGAGGGGGCGCTGAACCGCAGAAGAAAAAAATAATTATTTGTAATCCCTGGTTGTAACTCTGCTCAGCACCCCTTTCATTTAGCTTTGACTTAAAAAAACTATAATGAAGTATTACAGGAAAAATAAACTACTCTGCCCATAAAACATTTTTTCCCCCACAATGCAGCAATCGCCCCCACCCTCTCTCTCATTTGATTGACGTCGCACTGACTCGTCCTGCTCCGACACTCTGATGGGGGAGGGGCTAGTAGTGCCTCTCAGGTAGCGGTTCGTGTTGACAAACTCAATAACAACAAGTCTGTATTTTGTTGTCCCAAACATGTCATCCTCTTTGGACGTTTACCTGATAAAAAGCCTCAAAAATTCGTAAATTTTGCAAAAAATCCAAACAACTGTCAGCCTCGCTGAGGACGTGAGAACGCCTGCTGTGAAGCAGGAGGAAAGGAGAGCGGAAAAAGATCAAAACTTATTTCTACCGGCAGAACAGGTTCGAAGATGGCTATTTAATGTTATTTATTGTTTTTTAAATCATCCTACAGCAGGGCTATTCAACTGGCGGCCCACGGGCCACATCCGGCCCGCGAGTGACCAAAGTTCGGCCCGCCAATTGGTTTATTCATCTTTTGAGCCCAACCCCCGGTTTTCTACTTTAATTACTCTAAGTTCTTTTAGTTACACAGACATGTTTGGTATCTACAGAAACGTCGGAATCTTGGCTACAAGCTGGTAAAAAAACATTTCTATAAACACTCAAGACAGTTAAAACTACAAGCAGTTGAAGATAAAATGATGAAAGTGAAAATAAAATTGGTTATTTACATAATAACTCTAATTGTTGGATGTTCGGCCCCTCAGCTGTTGACCGGCAGTAAGTGTGGCCCCCTGAGCAGTTTAGTTGAATATCCCTGTCCTACAGGCTCTGACATGTTAGATAAATTTGAAAATGAGGTTTTGAAAAAATCCGTAGACTTGAAAAAATCAGTGAGATTGTTCTATGTGTCTGTATACCTGCAAAATGACATAAAATCCTTATAACTTACGGACAGTCCGTAAGTTAACATGTATGTTGTTATTTATTTGCTTTCTGGGAAAGCAAATAAATTTAAGTTCATCATAGTACCTTACACTGTCAAACTTGTTTTTATGGGTCAAATTGGGGTGGGTGGGACATAGTTCGGGGGGTGGGGGTGGGGTGCACTTCAACTCGCCTAGGGCACCAAAATGGCTAGAGCCAGCACTGGGTACATGTTTACATGCAGGTACATGTTTATATGCAGGTACATGTACATGTGTACATATAGGTACATGTACGTGTTTATGTGCAGGTACATGTTTACATGTTTACATGTACATTATATGCATTTAAATGTTTCCACACATGAGTAAAACACGGCTGTCTTGGTTTATAGCTGCAGCTCAGACTGAGTTCATTATTAAACTGATGAAATTATAATCTGTCTGGAAATAATCTGATTCATTTTTAATCCTAAACATGTTATAATTATGAAGTTTAACTCTTCTTAAAGGAATTCATTTCACAGAGTTTCAGACCGAGATCATCTCCTGTTCTTACCAGAGCTCAGAGTTTGTGTTGTGGATCACTCTCAGATACTACCACAGCAGACTTTAGCTCAGTACCTGTCAAATTAAACAAATTATCACTGCTGAGGTCTGCTGCTGCCACTTAGCTGCGGCGGCCATCTTGAATCATGTAGTAATAGTAGTTTATTTAAGCAGGAGATTAACTCATTGAGATTTAAAACCTCTTTTCTAAGAGGGATCTGGCCAAGACAGCAGCACAAAACAACAACAAAACACAAAACGAACAGAGCCCAGCACAGACAGGTAAAATGATTCTCACCCACCTTGCTCCTGGGCTCTCCGGCTGCTGCAGGTGAGTGAAGCTGACAGAAGGTCTGAACCTGCTTCTGATCCGTCAGCTGAGCTGCTGCTTCTGTTCACTGTAATCCCACTGATCCGCTCGGACGCCTCACCTCCTCCTGCTGCTGCTGCACGTTCAGACTCAGACATCACTGCACAAAGAGCAGAAAGTGAAGCTGCAGCTGAACCACAGCTGAAGAAGCTGAAAACAAGCTGAACTTTCTGTGTTTCAGTAAAAAAAAACAACACACACACAAAGATGGAGGACACAACCAAAAAGACAAACAGCACAAAATGTGAGAAACAAAATGAAATAAAATGATCATAAAAGTGAAGGAAATTTTGTAACTGATTAATTGAATATTAGATGTATTTTTGTGTTTTATACTTTCTGATCATTTCAGCCTGTAAGGTTAAAACAGACAAAGAGTTGGTGTGTGCCTTAACATGTGTTCTTTCATCTAAACAAAATGAGTTACATTCTGACATCTGATGTAAAAGGTAACACCTCCTGGGATGTAACCAGGAAGAAACAAACGTTATGAGGTCAATTCATTATTATAGTAAGAAGTCAGTGTGTTGCAGAGACTCTGCTCAGACCACAGCTCCTGTGTTTTGTTTGGGTTTTTATCTCAAGGTCTTACTGAGTTCTGTGAACCTGCTGGAGTCAGAAAATAAAGTTTTAAAGGGATCCCTGATTAGTTGTAACATTAGACTTTATTT